AGAGCAAGAGCCATTGAGTCGAGCAAAAGCGGTGAATTAGACAGAAAGAGGGACGCGAATAAATTTGACCTGACTTTTATTTTTTACCCACATTGGATCTGCGTGTAGACCCATTTTTTAGGGTTTAGACGTGGAATTGGAATCAGAATTATTTTGGTCTGATAAAGAATTCAACTCATGGAATTGGAACTTCTTGGAATTAGAATTCAATGCAAATTCTATGGAAAAGGCAACATCCAAACACAAGAATTAGAATTGGGGTTCCAATTCTAATTCTAAACCCCAATTCTATGGGGTACCAAATGCACCCGAAGAGTATTCCCCTAACCATTGAGCTAACTCCAGTGGTTAGCAAATAATTAATTTTTGCTTACCATGCAAATTTAGGTCATCCGACACCAAAAGAAAAATAAAAATATTCATATATTTAATTAAAAACAAACAATTTTAGTGGTATTATCATAATTTGTTTGTCATATGGGAAAAAAGAAAAACAAAAGACATAACTAGAAATATCAATGTTGTACATACCATTCAAAATTGATGCTGTTGTCAAATCATTTCATATTTGGTCAAATCTTTAGTTTTTTAATGATAATTTTTCATCTTCTTTAATTAATTGTCCTTAAAACTATTGTTTTAAATTGGAAGAAACTAAATGTAGCCTCATTTGTTAAAAAATTCTTTGGAGATTGTATACAAATTTGTAGATATAACGTTTTGTGATCCTTTTTTTTCTTTTAAAATAATGATTTTAAGGATAATTAATTAAAGAAGATGAAAATTTAAATGAAAAAATAGAAAAAATGCAAATATTAAATTTATTAAAAAATTCCACAACTAAATTTTAATGTATATGAAATTTTATATTTATGATATTATTATCACGTGCAAAGCACATGGCCTATTACTAGTTGAGTTAAATACCTTAACAATATTGAAGTAATTATGAGACATGCTCATGCTCAATTCAAAAGCATGATTCTTCAAAATTCAACTTGAAAATAAATTGATTTGCAAATAATGAAATAATGAGCTGTTTGATTAAAGAAATTGGAGCAAAAACATAATAGATGACAGTTGAGTAGCGATTAGGAGAGGAAGAGGGTAAAGAAAGGAAGGGAAGAAGAGAACTACTTCCCAACCAAGGTTGCTACAACATGCTCAATGCTTAGACTCTGAATTAAACACTGAAAATTTGGCAAATTAACCACAATCAGAAGTGTCTTAAATGAATTCGAAATTTAAAATAATGTCAAACTGAAATTTCCTTTCATCAATTTTTTCTGACGGCTTTCATGCCCTGCGTCACACGGCTAAGCCGTGGCTACAATTCTTTGATCTTCAGTGGTGGAGCCAGGATATTGTTCTAATTTAGGCACAAACTAAAATGAGATTCTTTTAATTTTACCAACAGAACAAGAAAATAAATCCACATACCAAGTAATGGCAAATAGACATATGTGTGTTACATAAGATGATGCAAAACCCCCACGATTATTATCAGAAGTTATCAAAGTAGGAACTATTTGCGGGTAAACTCCTACAAATAATGCCCGACTTATACTTGCAGTGCTTGGCAAACAAAATGCCCAATATAGAAATCAAAATGATTGTTTCTACAAAGTACTCTTACTGTCCACAATAAAAATGATATATATGAAAAAATTCCCTAAAATCTAACCAACATTGTCAGATATCATTGAAACGAATCAATTTACAAGATCTACCTAAGGCACAACGCTAGCATCGGCGCCCAACACTTGCTGCCTTACTGAGCATGAAATCGTATAGATCATCTTAGCAAGCAATATTCTGATGCCTAGCTCCAAATGCTAATTGTTAAAGTAGTGCTTAGCATTTTTTTTTTGGGGGTTTGTTATCCATAAGTTAGACTCAAGAGGATTAAAAGTTGAAAATGGAACAGCATCATTTCTGTCGTCTTACAGTAACTCTTATCTGAGAAATTAAGCATCAAAAAGATCAAAAGCTTGAAATTTTTGTTAAAATACTTGGGAAAAGATATACATACTCTTTTATTAGTGGATAATGTGTAGAACTTTTTGCATGATCTTGATGGGCTTTGGTGATGGATGTTTACATGCATTTATAGTTGGAAATTCATGGCATATATATATATATATATCTGTGTATGTGTGTGTGTGTGTATTTGCCATGAAAAGCTATATTTCATAATTATTTTTCAAATTTTGGTTAAATAGTTTATTCTTAGAATCTCTTAAGATTTTGTCAGAAATGAAGAACTTTATTTGAACCCACGAATTATAGGATCAAAAGAACGACTTCTTTGAATTTAGATGAGTCCTTGAAGTGTGTCTTTGAGTTTTCTTAAACTTCGTGAAGATTGGGAATGTCGTGACATAGATAGATCGACTTTGCAAAATTTTTTTAAACTTATTTTTAAAATTTTTTCTGACGGAAGAGGAGTAGAATTTAAAAAACAGGGAGGTGAACTTCGCAAGTTATTTATTGTATTTGAAAATTAGACTAGGGAAAGCTCTACTTTAATGAATTTTTCAATCATCTTTAAGCCAAAATTTTAGAATGATCTTTTATGAAAATTTAGCTCTCTAAGGGAAGTTTTCAGTTGTATAAATCTTATTATGATATGATATGAATTTTTTTTTGGTAAAACATGGCAAATATGTAAAGTAACTTTTCGACTTAACATATTTTGCAGTCTAAGGCAAATAATAATATATTATTGTTTCTTCATAAAATATTTACTTTAGGTGTATTTTCTAATGATCTAAGAAACAAAAGCCACCTGACTTAAGCATCTCATAACGTGCTTGTCTTCTTTAAACGTGGTTAAACCCGGAATTTTATATATGATTGAGTGGATTTTGCAAACACTATGGTACAATTACTATATCTTAATGCAAGATTATGGTAACAATCTACCACGAAAATTTTAGTAATTAGTATGTCTTCATCACTATCCATTCCGAAATTCTGTTTTAAATACCATTACAAACTTGCTAATGACCCTATTACTCAAGTTAGGTCCAATTCATTTATAAACTGATAAGTTTTAAATTTGCATACTTTTAGTGTGTTTTATTACTTAGTTTTTGATGTGTTTTAGTTATTTTAAGAGATAATTAACTAGGTTTCTAGTGAATTTTGCACTTTATTGTAAAAGTGAGAAATGTTGCATTTCTATGGATTTAGGTGGTTAAACTTCATGTTTTTATGACTTTAAATGATTCAATCACGAAATGAAATGAAGTGAAAAGATAATTTTATGATTCTTGATGATTTGAAGTGCTTTCAAGTGAACATAAAGTGCAAAATATTCAAAAGATGAAATACAATCAAGCTTGATGGAGAAAAGATTGGTAGCCTTGATATATTTTGGTATTTCAATTATCACTTGAGTTATAAATATTGGATTGAAATGATTCTTGAAGTATTTTTAAAACCAAGATAAAGGACTACATTTCTTATGAGACATCAAAGTCCAGTTTACACATTTTCCTAGTCAAAAAGTTGATATACAGTCATGTACTTTTGCTACTAGTTAGGAGTATTTTTATCATTTATTAGCCTACAGACCTCCAAATGACATGATTCTTAATACATTAGAGCTAGTTCAACCTCCATCATTCAGAAATTTGCAGTTCAAATTGGTGCAAAATAGAGCAATTTTTAGAATCCAATCAGAAGTGTCAAACCTGCAATAGAGTACTCAAAACGTGACCTCACCCACGTTTTCTCTTTGAGGCTGTGCAAGTTGCTATATATGTTCATACAGCTTTTTGGATTATTTTCCGATCAAATTTCAGTTATAGCTACTCAAGAAATCTTGAGGATTTCATGAAACACCTTTTGAAGATTCCAAGGAGCTATACTTGCACAACTTGAAACAAGATTGTTTGGAGCATGATTCATGCATAAATAGGCCCTCTTATGAAGCATTTTTGCAGCTTTTGAAGGCTAGTAATTACACCAAAATGTAGTCTTTCACTAGACTTTCTTAGTTCATTAGTTTAGTATAGAGTAGTATAGTATTATTCAATCTTTGTATATAGCTAAGCATAGATGAGTTAGAAGGTGAAGATGGAGAGTTTTAGAGCTCATTTAATATGGGTGACATCTCTTCTATCACTTTATTTCTTATATTGATTCTTAAGTTTAGTTGTAATACAAGTTTGACCCTTGTTTTCTTGTCTTTGATGTCTTGCTAGGTTTACGCCTAGGGTTGGATGAACTATCTATGCTTGTTATGTGAGTTTTTGTGGCTATTTCAGTTACATCATGTGTAAGTTATTTATCACTTTTGTCACTACAATCATGATTACCTTGGTACCATTAATTATGATTATCTAAAAGTGTCACATTATCAATGAAAATTGAGATTTAACACTAGTTCATGGAAGTGTTAAATTTAGGGAGTTAACTCACAAAAATAGGATTGCACTATTGTGGTTTTAACCATATAATTTCATAGAATTTAATGAGCTTATGGCTAGTTTCTTTATCACGAAACGTAGGTGAGGGATAGTTATAGGTATGGCTAGTAGATTGGTGAAAGTGAGTATCACGTACATCAGGAAATTAGTCATGATTTAACCAAGATAATCAACTTTAACTGGTAATTTTGATTTGCATGAGTAGATATGAATTCTATAACCTAGGAACATCTTTATTATTGTTTTTACTACTTTTATATCATGCTTGTAGGGTAGATTTACTTGATTTATTTGTAGTTGACTAAATAATAAAAGAGTTCGAATCACACTGGTAATTGACAATCTTCTATGTGGGATCATCACTCGAATAAGAGAAATTTCCAAGTTTGTGATGAAATTTAAAAAAATTCTACAAAAGGGGTGATTTTGGTGAGGTATTCCGTAGGGGGGTCTTCGCATTCCACGAATGCGAGCTCAGCAGAATTTTTCGCAATTTTTTTTTCGGAGGGCAATAGAGCTCGCATTCGCGGAATGCGAGTTCTCCCAAATTTAAGCTTTGGGAATTTAATCTCTCCCAAATGACACCTGCACTGGCTCATGGAGATCTTTACATGTTGCAGCCACTGCCTGCAGTCCTTCATCGCATACCGAGTCAAGCACTTGCATAAATCAAGGGTAAGGAAAACCAAAAGATTGACAGAATCAACATTCAAACGGAAATTCCATTTACTTACCCACAAAGTCTGGAGCTTATGGCAATGATAGATAAAGGATTTCAGTTGTTCAGTACTGATTGTGGCGTAGCTAAGATTCAGAGAGGTAAGGTTAGCACACACTGGAACTATTGTAGGCAGATAATGAGCATTGATTTCTCTGAATCCAGAAAGGCAAACTAGAGATTTGCATGCAGCAAAAGCAGAAACGTAGTCTGGCACCTGTTCACCCTGAGCAACAATCTCTCCGGGGCCAAATGAACTAGTTCCCAAGTGGGTGAGCTGTGGAGCTCGAACCATCAAACGATAGAGCTGCACAATTGTTACATGTCGATTCAATCTAAGCTTCTTCAAAGACGGTGACTTAACCGCAAGTCTCTCCAATGCCTCAAAATTAATAGGGGAGTCCACACAGTCAAATATCAAAGACTCGAGACAAGTTCCATTCTGTGGAAAACATGAAATCCAGTCCACTTCATCTTCTACCAACTCTGACTCAATCAAATCGAGCACTCTAATCTTCCTGAGATCACGTAAAAACAACTCACATTACACAAAAGAAGATCACATTAAATGCGAGCTCATTGACCTCGCATTCCCAAAATGCGAGCTCTCACTGAGCTCGCATTTTGGGAATGCGAGGTCAGTGAGCTCGCATTCCCGGAATGCGAACACCCTATTTGTAGAACCCTCTCCAAAAAACGCCCTCGTTGTAGAATTCCTTTTTTTTTTTCATCATAAACTAAGAATTCACCTCTCGAATAATATCTATATTCATGTACGACCTATGCACTTGCAGTAGTGGAAGCTAAGTTATATTTAAAACTTGGAAGAAATTAGAGATCAAACTCCCTACACATCATTAACTTAAAATTTCAAGAATGAAACTCTATTTAAAGGGTAGAATGTGATACAAGGTATCTTTTTGCATCAAAAATTAATAAATAATTAAATAATTGCCACATGGTCTTTTAACAGTATGCTATCCACAGCAAGTTACTTTTAAATAGGTGATGAATAACCATATATTAATGGTGATGATTTCATGGGTGAGGTAATGCTACAAGTAGTGGAAACTAAATAGGAAGTCATCAGTAAATGTATCATCAACAATGGCGATTAAATAGGATGGATAACATCGACCACTTAAACTAACTCTTAGCAGACCTCATAATTATAATACTTATCTTAGTTAGCCTAGTTAGCCTTCAGACTAGGAAAAAAATTAAGACAGAGAGAGAGAGAAGAAAAGAGGGTCATCTACTGGATGAGATAAAACATGAGGAAAGAGGAGGGAGGAGATGAATTCAATTTGGCATCTTGGAATCGCATGCACATAAGACTTGATTGTTAGTTTTTGCACAATTTTTCTTCTACAGTTCTATTTAGGCTTTGAAATTTTAACACAGATTCATCTAGGTGAATGTCTAGACTTGGAGTAGAAGTTTCGAAAGTTTTGTTAAATTTTATACTTGAGGTTAAGAAGGTATTTTCTACTAACGGATGCTAGTGTTACTGATAGAGAAGCATCAGGCGGTGAGAAGTTGTCTTCGATTTTTATAAGGAACTAGTTGAATTTGAGGCTGACACATGCGTGTCAACATGCTCAAGGTAGTGGATAATGGTTGAAGTAGAATAAAATATTGTTTAGTGGATCTTAAAGCTTAAAGATTTTATACTTGTCATTTGAAGTGAAAAATATCAGTAGGTTTTGAACAATCTTAGCTTTTTCTTATCTTGTTATTATGGATAGAAGACAATTGTCAAATGTCATTTGTAACGAGATGTTAGTAAAATTAGTACATACATACGTACGTACTTACATATATACATATATATATATATATATATATATATATATATTAGATTTAGTGATGAAATGAGCTGTTACCGTTTTTAATTAATCATAATCAAGTAGAAGATATTAATCTTTTGTTTTGTTATTTAAATGATGAAACCGGGTATGAATATATCATTATTTAACCATATGTTTTTTTTTGGTGATTTTAATCCTGAATGTGATTTTTGAAGTCCTGTGGAATTTTTCTAGGGTTGTAGTTTTTTTTAGTCTTACTACATTAACTGTAGTTTGGAGTCATTGAGCCATTCTTGCGATTCAGTTATAAGTATTGTTTTTAATAGTTGCATTTGCTGATATACTAAATTATTTTTTATTGATATATAATAATTATATTTTTTATAGCTATTCTTGGTGTTGTAGTTGAGGTGTTTCCATTATAAATTTTTGTTTTTAGTATATTTTTCTAGGTGTTTCGCTGGCTATGAAGCAAGAGACCATTATCATGTATAATGTGTACATTCCTCAAACTGCTGAATTGAGGGTATGGTGTCAGTCATTAGGATAAGATGGAGCTAATTGATTTGATGTAATTAAATGTTGATATGAGGGAGTAATTCGTTTGTGTATGTTGAAATTTCCTTACCTGTGAGATTAGGATTGTAATTAAAGGTTTATATTCATAACTTGTAAGTTTACTTTGCGCAATGAGAGTGTAAATATTTAGTGTTTTCACTTTTTTCAAATGATTAATTCTCAAAAAATAGATATTTACACTGTATTTACAATGACATTTTAGCAAGTAAAATTAACGAAAGTTGATCAATCAGAAAATTTTGATATTTAAGTTCGTATATTATATGAGTAGTAAAGCACGACATATGTTATGAGCTATACTAAGAAACTAATTGATATCTTTTGTAAAATTAGTGAATGACATTATCGAAATCTAAGTTTTCACAAGTTGATGTTGAATTGTTCGCATTATATGAAAAGCTAAGCACCTAATGTTTTGAAGTAGATATCATTTTTTGTTCTATAGCAGATATGAATACCCTCCTTGCCAGTATTATCCCATTTTGGTGGCCAGATTGAGAAACAAAGGTTGCTTTGATGACATATAATTATTGTGCAAGTACTATAGATATCTAAAGTGCTCTTATCAGTAGCTTCCGATCCCCAATTAGGACGGTGCAAGAACCGCAGGTTCTACGGCTCACTCAATCCTCTACCATGTTGCATCTCCCATACTAATGAAATTTCAGATGCTACCTGCTTTAAGGACAAATTACAACAGGCATTTATACAAATGGCTCGAATAAATATTCGCAATTTGCATTTCTTGGCACTGATTCTAATGAAATCCAGCTTGTGCTCCCCCATACTAATGAATGAGAATCAGATATAGCTTTCTAAATTAAGCCCTTAAAATGCCGCAATCACGTTTCGATTGGGACATATCAAAATGCACAACAAACAAACGAAGTGAATTTCATGTAAACTGTTTCCTGCTTAATTTGTTATACTGTCTATAAACAAGGGCATAGGGCATCATAATATTAGAAAGTTGCTTATTGTAGCATCGTCTTTGACCCATCAGGTATTTGGTCTTCACATATTTTGAAATACTTGAGGTAATATGATTGGCCTGAAACCGTTTGCTAGAACTCTCGGTAGGAGGAGCCTCTTCTAATTCATCATCTGTGCCAATCATTGAAGAGCCCAACCTGGTTTGTTTAGCTATTCACCTTAGAATATGTACATTTAAGTAATAGTTTAGTATATAGCCTCTCTGCTTTGGCAAGGTAAGCACCCAAGGGCGGAATTGATCAAACTTTGTCCAAAAGATTTGGAATGCATTCTCACAACATCCTTGAACTTCTTTTGTTCTTCTAAAGTCCATAACTTGGAAACCTCTTCTCCCATGCACTCAATTTTCCATTGCCAAACGGCAGGCCCTAGATCAGATTGCAGCTGGATTTTCTTAGCATTGATGTCCTATCTGACACATTCAATAGATCCATGGGATATACATGAACAAGACTTAGGACTTTTATTCAATGGTTTTATACACTGGAGAGCTAATACTAATACTGATAATCATTTCTATGAATATGTTTTATATAAAAGTAGTTAGAGCAGTCATTTGTACTTCTCTCATAAGAGCTCATCTTCCGGTTTCCATTGAGTATCCGAATTTCAAAAATTAGTTTCATATTTCAAGAATGCAACGTTTAAATGCTAGATCAAATCTTAGAGGTATTAGTTTGACCAAATGAGATATGCTAATGTGGGAAATCAAGTATATAAAGACTACACAATTTCAGAAGGAAATGCCTTGACATAAAATTAGAGTGAACAAAGAGAGTCAATTCCAAATTCTAGAGCATCTTGAACAATTGCAGAAAACCATGGGTAACGGTACAAAATTGGTTAATTTGCACTATCTGGCGGGTGAACCTGGCCACTTGTAAGGTATAAGAGTAACTAAGAGCCCAATTAGTTCCAAAGGAGAACATAAGAATGATAAAAGAAGCAGCTTGCTTCAATAGAATAACTGAGTTAAAAGCCAAAAATTTCCCTTGAAAAAGTTACACAAGACATAATAATGGAGAGTTCATAATAATGACAAAACTTTTATACAAATGATAGGGAGGTCAATGCTCCTTACAACTCAAACCTAAAAGCATTAGAACAAACTCTGTCATGGCTTATATACAAGGCGGGAGAAGGAAATAATAGGAAAAAGGGGAGAAATAGGATATCAAGATCTACAGGAAGATTCATCTTGTGGCATCAACTTTTTTAGCATATTTTGTTCTTATAGTGTCAACAAAAGCTTATTCAGAACTTATTTTAGTGCTTGTAATATTTTCTCCACAAACTTCGCCACTATGCCACATTTTGTAAGCTAGTATATCTACATTTATATCAGCATCTCCTATCATCTATCATGTACCTTATCCTTCAAAGGAAATCTCAATCAAAACTGGACCTCATGAAGATTTTGACTTTGGTGGGTATCCTCCTTTGGAGAAAAGAGACAAATATAATTCTTTGGTGGGTATCCTCCTTTGAAACCAATTTAGACGACTATATAATTCTTTTACTTCTTTCGTAAGAAAACTTCGAGAATATATTTGAAATTATATCAAAATTCTATAAATATTATTAAAAATTTAAGGGGACAGTGGGACTCGTGCCCCCACCTTAAATCCGCCAGTAAATGGGATGAGGTTCACTTGAAGTCAAGCTATACTATTTGTCGACAAAAACTAGAAGCCTGAGTAATGATACTCTGTTTCGAGTCTTGCGCCCAAAAGAAAGAAGGAAAACAATTAAATATAAATTGATCAAACCTTGAGGTTATTGAATTGAAACGGTCTGAAATTTAGAACAAGAGTCGCGGCTTCGGGTTTCATGAAGCTAGCTTCGCAAGAAACTTAAAATTGAAAGAAAGGGGAGAGGGGTAGCGGCAACCACTAGCTGGCCAACGCAAGCAACTAAGCAGTCGCCGTAGCTATTGGCCATTTAGGCCTGTCACTCAGAGCTGTGTGAATTGAGTTTTGACATTTTGAAACTCAACTTATATAAAATTAAAATGTTACTTTTTTAAACTCAAGTTCAATGTAACTAGGCTCATTTTTTTTTGTAACTCATACTAAACTCAAAAAAAAAAAGTCAGATATCAGACCTAATTCGGGTAAGCCCAAATTCACATCATGTACTTTTCACGTTAATAAAATCTAG